TCAACTTGCGATAAAAGAAGTGGACTAATTGTCTCTATACTAATATTCTAGGAAGAATGCAATGGCATACAAAATGTTTTTATCTAAAGCTAAAACAATCAAAATAATATACTAATTGTGGAAAGCAAGAGATCAATATGTTTTGTTTATTTAACAAACTTCACCATTGGTTCTGTATTAGTTATCACATATTTGTTGTTGTGTGCTATCAAATATAGCACAGCCCACAAGCAATTTTCTCAAAAAGTATATGAATAAGCAAGTACAAAGGGACAAAAGAAAAGATCAATTTTCAATCATCATTGTTGGCATTTTTAACAGAGTCAAAAAAGTCACCAAAATAGCAAAAATAAATTGCAATAGTTACATGAATCACTATAACTTTCAGTAAAAGATTAAGCTTCATGAAATATGAGGAAGAAAACTTTGATGAATGAAACAACAGTAGATAAGAAGCTTAATTAATGTATTTGAATTAGACTCCCTATAGCGGAAAAGACCCTAAAAATAATAGTGGCAGAAACATAAGTTTTGCTTACTAAACAATGTTATGAATGCAACCATTCCAACATCGTTATGAGTTGTGGACTGAGAGGGCCAATAGTATTAATGTCGCATTGCAATTGAAATCATTTTTTTTGTTTAATCATTCTTATTTTGGTGCCTTGCAACTAAGTGTTGGGTTTAATTAAAGGATGTGAATGAAAATCGAAGAATTGTGACTTTTGTGAAAAATTGTGACTTTTATGAAGAGTTCTGACTTTTCTAAAGAGATGTGACTTTTCCATAAGGTTTAAACTTTTAAGAATGGTTAAATAAGAATCATGATATGTGAGGGTACCACATAGATGGGTCTAAAATTCTCTTTTATATAAGAATATAAGATAAGATAAATTAAGATTTTATGTTTGCACCTATTAGCACATCAAAATGCAACTCAATAGGTCTTCTTTTCCTAAATTGACCAGTTGTGCAATTTCAGAGTTTCATACAATATATAAGCATTTTTCATCGAGCAAGAAATAATAAAATAGAATGTGTACTCATCAATTTTGTCTTGTAATTTTTAACAAATTTTATTCTTGATTACACTACAGATTTAATATAACTTATTTTGTAGATACTATTTGCATGGGACAAACGTGCAACGCACGTGTCCAAGAACTGATATCCTAGATAACTATTTTACTCTTTTAAATAGGTTTACAAAGTTAATCATGCTTTTCTATTTTAGCTATGACACACTTTAATTACTAAATATATCATCGTATAATATATGTGTAATATTTTAAGTCCACTTAATTTCTCTTTAATTAATATAAAGAAAACTAAGAAATCATCTGAAAGATGAAGAAGACCAAGAACTTTAGACCATTTGCTCTTTTAAGTAGCCCAATATACAAACCCAAATCTTCCGTTTACAAAGCCCAACCCATCTACCCTCTTCAATTGTTTGAATTACCCTTAAAGTTAGGTAAGAATCTAGGGTTTCTTGTCTTAGTTTTTTTTGAGTCTCTCATCCTCTTTATAATTCTCCTTGAAGATCCATCTCTCCTCTTCAATGAAAATTTCAGATTTTTTCACCATTTGCAGATGCTTCCTCACCATTTTCAAGCAAATCTCAAAAATTTCAGACGTGTCTCCATCTCTTCTTTTTTCAAGCTTCAAGGGAGTCCACATCAAACAACACAATTAAAGGTTTACCAATTTAAGTATAATCTAAGACAAATCATGTTTTCTATGTTCGGATAAAGTGAAGACCGAACACATCCATATTTCCCTACATTTAATTTTGAATAGATATCTCTATAACCAAATCAAATTCAAAATTTCAAAATACCGCTCTAACTCAAACCCTAATTTCCTCCTATAAACCTTTGGATTTTGTTTTGGGTCATGTTCTTTAGCAGCATCCACCCAGTTAAACTCGTTATATCTTTGTTCTTATATCTCTACCTTCGGCTTTTCAGGCCTTGTTATTCGGTATGGTTTATTGACGACAATCCAAGTGTGAGAGTAGATCTGAGGCTTGCTAACAACACCCCTAGTTCGCTGCTCCATGCAAGGTCAGTGCCCATTTTATCATTTCTTTTTATTTTATTTTACCTAGTTAAATAAGGCATATAAGGATCAAAATATTCCTAAACTTTTCTAGAAGGATCAAACTTATTCCAACATTACTGATTTTTAAGATTAAAAAAAAATAAAAAATAGAATTTAAATCCATTTTGTTACTTCTATTAGATATAAATGGTACATCTACGCTATTTGTATAATGGTAAGTGTTATCGGGTCAACCCTTCCCGATCTAACCCACTTGGTAATATATCACCCTTTGACGTCTCACTCATTTTCTTTTTCTCTCAATCTAGTTCAACACTTAGACAAGCATGAGAATATAGAGAACACAAGCACGTACATGAATCACTTCCCAACTTTGTCTTCAACTCATGACATAAAGAAAGCACACAAATAACTAAGCTGCAAAATTTAACCAAAGCCCCCTATTTGTGTTAGGTCTACCTATGCCAATAAATAGGCTGAAACACCTTGTCACATGCCAGACACATGATAGTCTCATTCAGTTGACATCCCCAACTGATAGACCAATTCAAAATTTTAAAATACAAGTTCTCTCTACATTGCTGACAATCCACAAATGGCTAGATATTTCCTAACTTCCTAGGCATGTGAGAGGCACATGTAAGCAACCTTCAAATCTGGCGCCAAAACTCACTTCTACCTACCCAAATTTGCGAGTGACCACGTGCCTGGACTGTGCGAACGTCTTGCCCCGCATAGGTTGCTATTGGTTCATTCTCCTAGGCTGTCTTCCCTTGCCCAACACTTAGCCCTTAAACTTCTTTAGCCAAGGTCATGCCGCGATCATTGCCTTACATCGACTTGCTTTAGCTTTGCCTAGAGCTTGTCATGCCTTAGACACACATTGTCTGGCATGCTTTAGCCACGCCAATGCCATGGTCTATATTCAACTGAGCTTGATCTTAATTGAAGTCATTGGGCTTTGGCTACGTTCATCATGTAAATTCATACCCAAAACTGATCCACTCAAACCATCAAGGTGAGGGTCTAACAAGATAGGTATATGTGAGCGATTTTTATAACGAGTGTTATATCATTTCTAAATCAAAAAGTTGTGAAGTATATCAAATCATTTCCTTAGGTATTATATATGTGTCCGCAATAAATAAAGAATTAATGAGTTACCAAATATTTGAATGTAATTTCTTAACCGGTAAGTAAATACTAAATTCTCATAATTATAAATTAGTTTTTAAAACCAAATCTCGACTTTCTCTATATAGGTAATATACTATCTCACGACAAAAGATTTGTCCATTATTATTATGGTTCTCTAATATAACAAAACTTTTAAATGGATTAATTTTCTTTCTTTAAAAAAACTTTTTAATCGATTAATTAGAAAGGTTCCCTAATATGTTTACTACACCTCTGTCATTACTGATTCTGGCTTTATGAATATGTTTCCAGCCGCACAACTGCATACCATTGTTCTCAACACAAACTCTCTCTTTCTCTCTCTCAACTAGTTAGTTTTCACGGTTGTACCTTAGCAATGGCATGATAAAATCAGATGGTGGTTAGCAGTTTTATTATCCAACTTATTCTGACCGGCCATGATCTGATTTTATCATGCCTCTACTAACGTACAAGAAAGAGTAGTTGATTTGGGCATTGAAGCAAGAAGAATCTATCGCTACGGGGGGTGTTCTTGTTGATAAGATGGGTATGGGGAACACACAAACAATGCAAAGATTATCACTTCCATTTTCCAGTCCAAAATCGTTAGACTAGAATATCAATTCCCACTTCCATCTCATTTTTTTGTGATTTCATCTCATTCAAATAAAAAATTGATTTTTACCTGAAGAAGTTTGAAGAGCTCATCAATGGGAAGAGGGAGGATTCATGAGGCTCATCCCATAAGCTGTGAACTCGTCTTCCATCTTTTCCCAGTCAGCATAAAAGGAGCCAGAACTAGCCATTCCCAGAAGAACTCTATTTAAAAAACAAGAACTGTAGCAATAATTAACACTTCAACAAAGAAATGCAGAGTAGAAAAATAACACTTGTACCAAAAACTGTAGCAAAAGTAGCATTTAACTAAAAGATTGGTACAAAGTGACAAATGGCAAGAATGCATTTGTTTCTTCTTGTATGAAATGTGAACGTTAGTACCTATGCAATGGGAACTTGTCTTGCGTATGTACTAACGTTCCCATTTCATACAAGAATAAACAAATGCATGCTTGCCATTTGTCACTTTGTACCAATCTTTTAGTTAAATGCTACTTTTGCTACAGTTCTTGGTATAAGTGTTATTTTGCTACTCTGCATTTCTTTGTTGAAGTGTTAATTTTTGCTAGAGTTCTTATTTTTGAAACAAAGTTCTTCTGGGAATGGCTAGTTCTGGCTCCTCCCGTGCTGATCGAAAAAAGATGGAAGACGAGTTCACATCTTATGGGATTAAGCCTCATGAATCCTCCCTCTTCCATTGATGAGCTCTTCAAACTTATTCAGGTAAAAATCACATTTTTATTTGAATAAGATGAAATCACAAAAAAAATGAGATGGAAGTGGGAATTGTTGTTCTACTCTAACGATTTTGGACTGGAAAATGGAAGTGATAATCTTTGCATTGTTTGTGTGTTCCCCATAAGTTATGAAAATGGGAAACTGAATATTGTTGTATTGTTTAGCCTACTTACCATATCGTTGACCATCACATCTTCAAAATCTTCAATATCCCATACTCTGCTAGGTTCTCCTAATTATATTTTTTGCATTTTCACGACATATCTACCCATATCTTGAATCAAGTCATGCATTTCAATTGTATCATCATTGGAGATGAAAATAAGAGATTTATCAATTAGGACATCCAATCCGTATTCAGCTCCAACATCATCACTCTTAAGGATTGGCATGACTCGTTTTTTTCTATATTATCAGAAGAAACATGCCATATCTACAATTATCTTTTGCTCTTCGGGTTCCAACCCATCATAACTTATTTTAAGTTTTTCAACAATTTCTGAAGTAGAATGTTTCTTTATTCAGTCTAAAGGGCTTCTCCACTGAGTTAGGCCTTTCTATGCAACAAAGAACCCCATACCTTGAGGGCTAAAGGATGGCCTTTAGCATGATTTACTAGCTCCAACGAGAACTTGTTGAAACGCTAATCTGAAACTTCTTTTTTCAATGTGTATTGATTGAACAATTGCATAGATTCATGATAAGGTAGGGTAGACACCTCATATATTGCTTCATCCTTCTCTATCAAATGTCTATTCCTAGTGTTAGAATATGCACAACGGAAGCATGTTTCAGAATCACAAACTTACATAAAAGCATAATTATGTAATCTAAATAAATTGTGAAACTCTAACCTTTTGTAGCTTTCACACAACTCGTTCAGGGACTGGGACTCTAGAATTGCAGTCCTCTACTAATTCCTGACTAACTTTCTTAATCAAGTCTTGTGTGGGCAAGAAATTTTCAGAAAAAGGATATCCTTTCCTTGAGAACCACCACCCTTATTTATACTTTTCAGTATAAGGGAAAGGTTTGAAAGATGAAATGTTTCTAGTCATAATTAATGGTCATTAATAGTCATTAAATACCTTTAGGTGTAGTTGGACACTGTTAAGTGTATCCAATAACCATGATCAATAGTCATCAACAAACCAATTTAAAATACCAATTTAAGTGTTATTTTGACATGGTTAAGAGTATCTAACAACCATGATCAATAGTTATACAACAACCACTAAATATCGTTAAGTGTATTTAGAAAGTCATTAAACACCAAGGGTAATCAACAACCATTAAACACCATTAATAGCCACTGATACCATTAACACTATTATTTGTTTCTTTCATCTTCTAAGGAAATAAAACATTGCAGTATTTTCTTTTTTTCTTCTTTTAAGGAAAGAAAACGTTTTTCTCTTTTAAACTAATAAAAGTCAAAAACAATTTATTCCTAAGCTAAAAAAATAATACTAACAGTCCTTTTCTTTTCCGAACTCAATCAATTAATCAGGCATAGTAGGGACCACAAATTTATTAGCAGAGGCTTCCAATTATAATATTTAATTCGTAAAAAGAATGAATTAACCATATCATAATAAATCACAGATTGTACCACTAAAAATTTGCAACTGCACTCCTCTATTTAATTTCAATTTTTTTTCGTTACAACTTATTTAACTCCCCATGTTAGAATTACTGACACCAATCAATTAAACTAAACTTCTAAAAAATTTAATCCATTGATTAATTTAATCCTTTATCTTTATGCTTAAATTAATTCACGTGACGGATATACATATATAATCCACCTGCAGGGTTTTCACATGACTACTTATAAGCAACCATAAAGGGGTGTCTTCTTTCTCATATCCGAGCTATGGTTCTATCAGCTAATTATTATTTCACAAATGTAATTTGTTATTATCCAATCCATTAGGAATTTTTTTGACTCATCATAGAGTCTCACCTATTAATAGATGAAAATAATAAAGCAAACTCCACAGATCATAATAACTACATCAAGATTAAGAATATAAGCTCATGTAATGGACTAGAGATATTATTTATTGAAATTCAGAACCTAAATGCATATCTCAATTTTGGTCCGTTCAATACATGGAAAATGTACTAACACAAGAAGTTGGAATTTTACCATTCCCATAATTAAGATTGAATTACATTTAATCTTGTGTTACAATCATCAAGATGTTTGTCCAATTTCATCTTTGATTGTGAACATTTAATTTAGACTTATAAGAACCGACAATTTCAATCTTCCGCGTATGAGTTAAGCAACTCCATACCCAAAAATCGTCTACTAAATAAGCAATGGACACACATATAAACAGAATGATCTATTCAAACAAAAACTTTATTGTCACAATTTACATAAAACGTAAAGTCTTTATAAAAGATTAAAATCAATACTATAACTCAACCATATGGTTAATAGTATATCCCAACACCTAGTTGTTAGAATAACTCTGATGCCATCACCAAACCAGCCAAGATCACCGGCTAAATACTCCAAATGATGACTATGATCCATGTCATCAAGCACAATTAGAACCTTCTTAGAACAAAGTCTGCTTTGAATCATGGACTTCCCATCATACTTATTTTTGACGTAATCATCTTTTTTTTTAACAGTTCAGAAAGAAGTGTATTTTGTAAAGAATGTAATTGAGTATTTTTTGGACTTTCTTTAACATCTGTAAGAAAACAAGAAGCTTCAAATTGATAACATAGAGTATCAAAGATGGGTTTTGCTATTGTCGTTTTACCATCTCCGCTTATTCCCCAAATTCCTACAATCCGAGCATCATTGATTTCTATCTGTAGTTGGGAATTTAGTTTCTCTAAATGAGCCTTTATTCCAGCAATATCTTGCAAAGAAGATAAAGAATAAGCACTCTTGCATAATTTTGAAGAAATGTAATCGACAATCTGTTGAATATTCTCTGATTCAATCCTACATATATAAGAAGATTGATTGTTAAAAATGTGAGAAGCTCAAGTATTTCATATTGTTAACGTTCAAGAATGGAAATGATTCCAAAAAAAAAAGTTGAAAAATGAAATTATGTGTTTTTAGTTCACCCATCATGAAAAAAAACTCACCCATCATGGATATTATATCCTTTTAGATTTGCAGCAGCAGTTAAGGCAGTCCTCCATCCTTGCACCATCTGAGTTCCCTCAACATCATCCTTATACTTAAATTAATGTTCGGCAAATGCTTCTGCAAAGCTCTCCCTTTGATTTCGGACATGTGATGGATCCACGTCATAGAAGACCGGTATAACCGTTTGTCCATTTCCTTCCTTGCATTTCATGATCTTCACTAGTTCATTCAAGCACCACCTCGATCTTGCATAATTTTTTGAGAAAATGACGAGGGCAACTTGTGACTCTTCGATACCTTTCCAGAGTTTTTCTGGGATCGAATTGCCATGTTCTAACCTTATATTATCTTGAAAGGTAAATATTCCTCTATTTTTCAAACCTTCGTACAAGTGACTCATAATTTTTTTTCCGAGTATCTTCACCACTAAAACTTAGAAATACAATGGACTTTCATCGAGGACAATACTGTGAATTACTTGTAAAAGAAGAAGTTGATATATTCTGGTTGTGGTAAGAGATATAATTGGTGATATTTGGGACAGAGAGTTTTAAACAGGACATTAAATGTGAAAAGCTTAAATGAAGATGGGTTAAAGTCAAGTGGTAGAGAGTGAATGGGTCCATAAGTGATTAATCAAATACATAAAACTGACGATAATTGGGTCTTGTCCAATTAATGGATAGCTAAAAGTACAAGAAAAAGAAAAGTAATTTCTTTGTCACCAAATTGACTTGACTTCAGAACCAAAAGTAGTAGAATTCTGCTGCTCCATCTGTCCCAATTTCCGTGACATTTTTTATTTTTCGCGAGTCAAACAGTTTAAATTTGAACGGAAATTTGTGCATGAAATCTTCAAATTTTTTGAAATGAAATTTATATATTTATAAATTATGTAAAAAGTATTACAAGTCACAATAATTGACAATTGAAAATATTTAAATGATATATGAAAACTTTACGGTCAAAGATAGACCTGTTTGAATTTCGAAATCCAAAAATTATCACATAAATTGAGACGGGGAGTAAAATATTTTCTTTTATATATATGTAAATTAACTCCATTCATAGATTTGAAAATTTATCTCTATCAAAGAAGAAAGACCCCACACGGAAATTGAAAAATCGTCCTCTACAAAGTACTTTTATATTTTTTTCTGACTTTTTAAAAATTTAGTGTCTCCGTCTCGATTATTTTAGTGGATATCGTTAACTTTCACTAATACATATATATTGAATAACTCTGTGCACACATTTTTTAGCAAAAGGAACTAGATCACCTAATAATTTTTCCTTCCTATATAATTTGAACTTGAAACGTCATACCTGTTGGGATATATACTATTAACCATATGTTCAAATATAGTATTTATTATAAAATAATTATTTATTCAATTTCAATAGATCATATATTCGTTTATGGTGTTTGTTTACTTATATAGTAGATAATTTAGTGTATAGAGTTTTCGCTTATACACAGAGGATTAAATCATCAATTTTATAAGTATAAGGTTTTTTGTTCACAATCTAGGATGAAAATTGGACATACCATCGTTACGATTGTAGCACAAGATTATTTATAATTTATCTTGATTATGGGAACAATATAGTTCCAACTTCTTGTGCTAGTGCATTTTGTATGTATTGAATGGGGCCGAGTAGAGATAGTTGTTTTGGACTGACTCACAAAAGCTTATTCTCTAAGCTGTTAAATATACTTATATTCTTAATACTGATATAATTATTATGATCTGTATACATTAATTATCGTTTAGATTTATTAAAAGGTGAGATTCTGAGATAGGTCAATATGTCTAGTAGATTGGATGATAATAATATATATTGGTGAAATAATAAGTTAGTTGATGGAATCCATGTCTCAATATAGAGATTGATGATATGCCTTTTTGAGAAGCTTATAAGTTTTCACCGTGTCAAACCTTGCAAGTGGATTTATGAATCCGACACATGAAATAAGTTAAGTAGTGCTCTAAAGGAAATTAATTATTGAATTACATTTATTACTAATTTAATTTATTGATTAGTATCTGTAATCTTAACATGAGGAATTACATAAGTGTTTAATGGGGAATTTCGAAATCTAAATAGTAGAGGAGTGCAATTACGAATTAATAGTGGAATGATTCGAAATTTATTATGGTAAGAATAATTCAAAATTAATTATTTAGAATTATTTCTATAATAGGAAGCCTCAGTAATTAATTTTGTTTCCCCTACAGTGCCCATATTTAACTAGAAGTAAGAATCCTATTTATATGGGAATAGTAAGAATAATGTGGGTTTTTCTGGTTTTCAGAAAAAAAAACTAGGTTTTCTACTCCTTTTTGGATTGGGAAGAAAATCTCTATAAATAGGGATTCTCCTAACCTAGTAAATAGATGAATCATTTTTTTATACGATACTTGGTCACCAAAGTATTGATAGAGTTCGGATGTGAGCTTGGGATCACTGTAGAAGACCATAGTTCTTGTTTATATTGTAGTTTCGCTTAAAGGTCTCTCTAAATTGAGGATTTGCTTGAAGGTATCTGCTCACACTTTAAGAGATAATTCTTGAATTAAATTTCAGGAAGTTTATGTGTTCTAGCATAACTATATATGTTCTCGCATAAACATTATTAGGTATATCTTATTCATGTAAGCAATAAGATTCTGGTATGCTTCCGTTGTGCATATATATTTTCCAACAATATCTACTTTACTAACCATTGGATGGATATAAAAAAAATCCTCAATGAAAACGGATTGAATTAAGGAGGAGGAGAAGAAGGAGAATGAGAAGAAGAAGAAGAAGAAGGAGTAGTACTAGAAGAAGAACTAGAAGAATAGGAGGAAGAGGGGGAGAAGGAGGAAGAGGAAGAGGAAGAGGAGGAGGAGGAGGAGGAAGAGGAGGAAGAGGAGGATGAGGAGAAGTAGGAGGACAAGGATAAGAAGGAGACAGAGAAGAAAGAAAAGAATGAGAAGTAGAAGAAGAAGGAGCAGCAAAAGAAGGAGGAGGAGAAGAAAAAGGAGGAGGAGCAGGAGGAAGAGGAGAAGGAGAAGGAGAAAGAGAAGGAGGAGAAGGAGAAAGAGAAGGAGAAGGAGAAGGAGGAGAAGCAGAAGGAGAAGCAGAAGGAGGAGAAGAAGGAGAAGAAGAAGGAGAAGAAGAATAAGAAGAAGAAGAAGAAGAAGAAGAAGAAGGAGGAGTAGTAGTAGAAGAAGAACCAGAAGAATAGGAGGAAGAGGGGGATGAGGAGGAAAAGGAAAAGGAAGAGCAGGAGGAGCAGGAGGAGGAGAAGGAAGAGGAGGAAGAGGAGGATGAGGAGAAGTAGGAGGACAAGGATAAGAAGGAGACAGAGAAGAAATAAAGAAGGAGAAGTAGAAGAAGAAGGAGCAGCAAAAGAAGGAGGAGGAGAAGAAGAAGGAGGAGGAGCAGGAGGAAGAGGAGAAGGAGAAGGAGAAGGAGGAGAAGCAGAAGGAGAAGGAGAAGGAGGAGAAGTAGAAGGAGAAGTAGAATGACAAGCAGAAGAAGAAGAAAAAGAAGGACAAGAAGAAGGACAAGAAGAAGGAGAATAAGAATAATAAGAAGAAGAAGAAGAAGAAAAAGAATAGGAGGAAGAGGGAGAGGAGGAGGAAGAGGAAGAGGAAGAGGAAGAGGAAGAGCATGAGGAGGAAGAGGAGGAGGAAGAGGAGGAAGATGAGGATGAGGAGAAGTAGGAGGACAAGGATAAGAAGGAGACAGAGAAGAAATAAAAGAAGGAGAAGTAGAAGAAGAAAGAGAAGTAGAATAAGAAGGAGCAGCAAAAGAAGGAGGAGGAGAAGAAGAAGGAGGAGGAGCAGGAGGAAGAGGAGAAGGAGAAGGAGAAGGAGAAGCAGAAGGAGGAGAAGCAGAAGGAGGAGAAGAAGAAGTAGAAGAAGGAAAAGAAGGAGAAGGAGAAGAAGAAGGATGAAGAAGAAGAAGAAGGATGAAGAAGGATGAAGAAGGATGAAGGATGAAGAAGAAGATGAAGGATGAAGGAAGAAGGATGAAGGATGAAGGAAGAAGGATTAAGAAGAAGGATGAATAAGAAGGATGAAGAAAGAGTAGTAGAAGAGGAAGAAAGGATCCAAGCTTGTTTGGATTCCTAAGAATAATCCTGAAGATGTTTTGTAGGTGAAGCTAAAAGGAAGCAAGTGATATTGATTCATAGATATTGCTTGCTTAAGGCATATGACCGAAGACAAACAAAAATTCCTTTCACTTACTTCACAAAAAAAGGGGGGAGTATGTCATTTAGAGATTAAAAAAAATTAGTGCATGTGTAAGGGGGAAGCAGGTGACATAATTTTTCAAAAAAAAGGAGTGAGGATGAAAATGAAACTGATGAGCGTGCATTGAAACTTGTTGTACCACTTGATCCAACTATTGAACAAACTAAGGGCACATCGATAGGGGGAACAACGAATCTTGAAACTGATTCATCCACAAAAGTATGTGGTTGCTGGATCACGTTGTTCTTAATTTCTATGAATCGAACAACAATTGATGGATTCTGACACTAATTCAGTAGAGAGCATTTTGAAAAGAATAGGTTAGACTTGGGGATGATTAAGATTGCATAAACTCCCCTCAATGATTCGCTAGAATAATTTTTCTCTTTAATTTATTAGCTAAAATGTTATTCAATTCATTCTTGCACATTTACTTGTGTGTCCCAATCCAAATCTCTAACTTATTTTAACCTAATTTTTCATTAGATGTGCAAAAAAATAGTGCAAGCAGGCAATGGTGATAAAAAAATTTCTCTTATCATGTATGTTCTATATTGTTAGAGGTTAGTATTGTCTAAAGTGAAATAATTGAGCAGTCATATTTCATATATTAATTATCCTAATACAGAATAAAATAATCGTCAAAGCTCAAGAGTCACATTTTTTTCAAGTTGTTCTCTCTCACCTATAAATTGATAAGCTTGCAATAAATATTTCACATCACCTTTATCTCTCACTTGGCCTTCTTGAATTTTCTTACAAGTTCAAATTTAAATATTTCCCATAGTTTATCAACTGATGTTTGCGATGTTATCCCTCTTCAAATTGCTCTTAACCTAGTATATATTTAATTCTCATTTTAAGAGGAATCTAGTTCTTCATTTTCAGTTCATGAGGAAGAACCAACACCTAAAACGTTAAGAAGATGTCACTTTTAAGGAAGGTCTTAATAACGGATAAGACTCCTTACTTTTGTAGAATTCTATTTTCATACTTCCAAATCCTCAGGAATCTGTTTAATAGTCTTTATATCTTCTAGGTCTTGTACAGATTCTTTATATAGCAGCCATATGGTCAATAATAAGATATACAATTTTCCCATCTTTGGTCTCGTTTCTTTATGGTATCAGAGCGCTTCTAAACTCCCACGAGTTGATCTTTTTTTTTTCTGCTAAGTCATCGAAATGGCCCCTAATGTTTCTGTGACCAATGCTGATGGAGTCAATAACGCCATCACTATTGTCCAATTCAATCCTATGACCCAACTACTCATAAGATTAACTG